ATATATATTAAATATGTTAAATGTATAAATAAATATAAATGAATAAATGACAAATATATTATATATTAAATATGTGAAATATATGTTCAATATATGTCAAATTTATATTAAATGTCAAATATATTAAATATTTTGAATATATTATATAGGGATGCACGATATTATCGAATCTTGCCGATAAGAGGAATACATTAACTCACATGTGCTCAGGGTGCGCTAGCGATTAGATCAAGTCAGCAGTGTGGCTCATTTTTGAAGCAAAGTTTTGTCTGAATGATGGTTAGATTGACTATTTTGGATCGCTGCATTTAATCTGTGAATGCACGTACAGAATGACTCGTTCGGTGTGTGTTAGAGTAAACAGTAATAGCACTTGCAGCGGCAGCCTCCCCCGGGTCCTAATGCCCGCTCAGTAAGGAGTTTTAATCTGTAGGGGGCGCTGTTGGCCTACTTCTAATTAAATTAAAAGTAAAATAGCCTACACAAATAACATTTAGACTGTGTTTCTGATTAAATAAAGCAGTAATTGATGTCATAAAATAATGAGTATGTTTTGATTTAAGTCAGAAACTATAGCTTACATGAAAAAATAAATCACAAACATGACACTTGTAAATTAAATAATTTTATATATACTGATTTATTCATTAATGTGTAATATGTTTTATTTTTTAAACAGATCATACGCTCTAAAAGATTTTCAGAATTTTTACAACTCTTTTGCTTTAGACCATCTACGAATGTTAAATCTTAGGGTTAACACTGCATCTTTCTGGGGGGAAAAATGCAGCGATTGATATATAGTTATTTCAAAAGCTTCAATGTACTGTCAAAAAACCTTCATTATTGTTTATTTAATTCTAACAAATAAGTTCTTTAACCAAAATTAAAAATATTTTGCTTAATTTCCACACAGGAGAGACTTGGTGTTGTTTCCAAACAAAAGAAAATATATCGGTATCGGTATCGGCCAAAATGAGTTGAAAAATATCGGCATATCTGCAAAAATATAAAAATATCGTGCATCCCTAATATTATATACTAAATATCAGATATATATTACATAGTTATCAAATTTACTGCATATTAAATGTCGGTCACACTTTATTTTAAGGTCCAATTATCGCCATTAACGAACCATTAACTACGACATTTGCCTCAATAAACTCCTAATTTGCTGCTTATTAATAGTTAGTAATGTAGTTGTTAAGTTTAGGTATTGGGTATATGATTAGGGATGTAGAATATGCTCATACAGAATATGTGCTTTATAAGTACTAATAAACGGCCAGTATGGTTATAATAGGCATGCTAACGAGCAACTAGTAAACAGTGAGAATTGTTCCCTATACTAAAGTGTTGCCTAAATGTCAGATGTATTGTATATTGAATGTATGTCATATATATATATATATTATGCAATATATAACAAATAAAATTCATAGCAGTAAATTCCCATATATTAAATTCACATGATTTTTGGGAATACAATTATATTTACACTGATGAAGACCGGACTGAAGACAGATCTGTTGAGTGTAATATAGTGATGTAGTTTTGAATGCTTGATGAACTGATGAACTGAGACTGTGAACTGTGTGAAGGTTTAATGACTGGTTTCTTCTGCGGTTTCAGGCCAGAAGCTCGGTGGATCTGGAAGGTCTTCAGGTCAACAGCAGCTACAGTGTGGAGGTCCAGGCCGTCTCATACTGGGGTCAGATCCGACTGAAGAGCAGCAAAGCCTCCGTCCAGTTCAACACACAACTCCACAACCAGACAAGTGCGGACAAACTCACCGACAGCAACATCTGTGCTGACTTCATTCAGTGTTACTGGCCTTTTCTTTGTAATTATTTGAGAAAATCACTAGTAGTTTCTGAGTGTACAGTACATGTTTAAGTTTGGAAACATGATTTTTAAATGTTTTTGAAAGAGTCTCCTCTGCTCACAAAGGCTGCATTCATTTGATCAAAAATACTGTAAAAATTGTGAAATATTTTTATAATGTAAAACAGCCGTTTTCAATATGAGTATCTGTTAAACTGTAATTTATTTCTGAGCAAAGCTGAATTTTCAGCATCATTACTCCAGTCTTCAGTGTCACATGATCTTCAGAAATCATTCTAATATGCTGATTTGCTGCTCGAGAAACATTTCTGATTATTATCAATGTTGAAAACAGTAGGATTAAAAAAAAAGAAGGAAAAGAAAAGAAATTAATGCTTTTATTCATCAAGGATGCATTAAATTGATACAATTTTAAATAATTGCTGTTCTTTTGAACTTTCTATTCATCTGTGAATCCTGAAAAATAAAATGCATCACGGTTTCCACAAAAATATTGTGCAGCACGACTGTTTTCAACATTGATAATAATCAGAAATGTATCTCGAGCAGCAAATCAGCATATTAGAATGATTTCTGAAGATCATGTGACACTGAAGACTGGAGTAATGATGCTGAAAATACAGCTGCGCAAGCTGCGCATCACAGAAATACATTACAGTTTAACAGATATTCACATAGAAAACAGATATTTTAAATGATAGAAATATTTAAAAAATTGTACTGTATTTTTTATCAAATTAATGCAGCCTTGGTGAGCAGAAGATACTTAAAAAAAAAAACATTTAAAAATAATGTTTCCAAACTTTTTCAGCACAGGCAGGAATACATCATTTAGAACTGGACTAGATGTCCAAATAAACACTAGAAGTGTGAATCAGCTTTCTGTCTCTGGTTGTTTATAGATGTGTGTTTGTGTGTGTGATGTGTTGTTTAGAGGCCGTATCTAAGCTGAGGAGACTGGAGGCTCCTGATCTGGGTTTGGTGTCGATGAAGAGAGCTGCCGGAGCTCTGGAGGTCGGCACACCGTATTACCAGGACGCACAGCTACAGGTCCGCATCTACTGGAAGAAGAGAGGAGGTACAACACACACACAACAACACACACACACATCAACACACACACAACAACACACACATCAACAACAACACACACAACAACACACACACAACAACACACACAACAACACACACATCAACATCAACACACACAACAACACACACAACAAAACACACACACACACACACACACACACACACACACACACACACACAACAACAGACATAAACAACAACACAGACAACACACACACAACACACATCAACACACACAACAACAACACACATCAGCAACAACACAGACAGCACACACAACAACACACACACATCAACAACAACAACACCCACAGCAACACACACATCAACAACAACACGGACAACACACACACATCAACAACAACAACACCACCACAGACAACACACACACACACACACACACACACACACAACAACAACAACAAAGACAACACACACATCAACACAAACAACAACACACATATCAACAACAACAACAACAACACCACAGACAACACACACACACAACAACAACACAGACAACACACACACACACGACAACACACATCAACACACACACACACACAACACACAACAACACACACATCAACAACAACACAGACAACACAAACAACAACACACAACAACACACACATCAACACACACACAACACACATTCAACAACACACACATCAACACACACACAACACACTCAACAACACACACATCAACAAACCCAGTTACACTCAACATCAGTCTAATAAACTTCCTGTGATTCATTATTTTCTGTGAATCATTTCAATCATTTCAGTCAATCAATCAATTTACATTACAACTCTGAGTCAGTTTATATAATTCTGAGTCAGTTGACAACTCTTTTAGAATCATTTTTAGTTTTAGAATAATTATGCTGCCTGTTTATTTTCTGATTTTTAGAATACATAGATGTATATCGACGTAAGTTCAGTACCCTCATTAATTAACAGCCATTAAAACCCATTTAATTGGGGCTTCCGGTTTGGCAATGTGAGGTGAAGACGCATGTTCGCAGAGCTCCTGATAGTTTCTGACAATAAGTGCTTTAATATGGCCATTTAAGTGATCTAAAACATTTTTTATAAGTGTTAAAACAGTGCTTAGAGCAATCGTATTGATATAGCAAGATGAGCAAGAACAAATCAGTAGTAAATCACCCGCCAACAACGAGAACCAGCATAGCTAGCAAATTAGCTACCATGGCTAGCGCAGGGAAATCTGAAGAAATCCCTGCAGATAGCGATGGTGTCTCTATGAGCCAGCTGGTAACGGAGTTAACAAAGCAACGAGCTTCGATAAAAGAAGGCATCTCAGCTCTGATTCAAGAATCCATGGTGCCGCTTCAGACATCGGTGAATGCTTTAACAGAGACGTTGGCAAGTTTTCAGTCCCGCCTTAGCGCCACAGAGACACTCGCGAGCGATAATTTCTCGGCGGTGTCTGAGGCCGAAAAAACAATCAGAACTCTGAAAGAGCAAAACGCGACGCTTATGGATCGAGTTGATGACTTGGAAAACCGGTCACGGAGAGCAAATCTCAGGATTTTAAACGTCCCAGAGAATAGCGAGAAAGACCAATCTACTGTCGAGTTCGTGTCCGATATGTTAATATACTTAAAAAACTTGAATCAGATTTTCGACGGTGGAGTGTTATATATTTGTCTTTAACTGGTAAAATCAATTGTGTTAAAATTAATGTGTTACCCAGATTATTGTATTTGTTTCAGAGTCTTCCAGTTTGTTTTATGTTGTGGGTAGAAAAAGTAAAAATGAATGCCTTTGAAAGTGCCTTTGTCACTGAATTCTTTCAATGTACCTTGTTCTGATAAAAATATAATAAAAAAAAATAAATAAAAAAACCATTTAATTTTAAGCCATTACATTTTAATTATAATTTAGTATTTAATTATTGTATACCACAACCTAGAAAATTGGGAATAACTTCATTCATTCAGAATTCTTTTAGAGTGGAAATCACCAATGCCACCTAAATTGTCACTATGGCTTAGTGATGTAATGTTTTTTCTAAAAACTGAAAAAATCAAATATTTTCTAAAAGGATCAACCAGAACGTTTTACAAAACATGGGATCCTTTAATAATCTATATCGAGAAGAATGTACTCCTCCAACTTTGAGCCATTTAAATATTTATCCATTACTGACCAAATTAGGAATAAATTAGAGCATTCTATGAAATGAAGTGTTCTTTTTTTGGTCTTTTGACATGGCTCACGAAATGTCAATTTATTTAATATCTAAATTACATTTTTCAACTTGATTATTAATAGCATGTAATGTTTCTGGAAATAATGCATTTGCTGTATATGGGTGATCCATAAAGAAAAATAAATATATTTTTAAAAACTACACCAACATTAGTGATGTGAAGTAATTTGAATTTATTCAGCTTTAATTTTATATCCTTAATTTTTTATTTTATTTCAAATTTTAATTGTAAATGAGTCTTTTTAACTGATTCTGAACGGTGCCGGAGCGAGACGTCCACACAGTCACTGAGAACGACCTCACATGTTGTATTTCATTAGCTTGTAAGCTGAGTTTAATTGCTGGAGGGGAAATATTAAAACCTCACGCTCCTGTCGAGCCGTATTCGCTGCTCTGTGTTACGCCGCTGTGGAGCGTGTGAATGAGCGAAACCTGATGATGATGCTCCGGTCTGGAGCTGCTGATTGTGATTCTCTTTCACAGTCTGAGCTGTTAATGTGATTCGTGCTGTTGTGTGTTTCTGCTGACTCAGATCCTGCTCAGAGCTTTTATTCTGCTGGACTCAAGCTGAACTAATCTCACTTCTGCTTCAGACAGAAATCACACACTCACACTCAAGATATTCCAGCTAGAGATGTGCAGAGCGACATATGTGACCCTGGAGCACAAAAGCAGTCTTAAGTCGCTGGGGTATATTTGTAGCAAAAGCCAACAATACATTGTATGGGTCAAAATTATTGATTTTTCTTTTATGGCAAAAATCATTAGGATATTAAGTAAAGATCATGTTCCATGAAGATATTTTGTAAATATCCTACCGTAAATATATCAAAACTTAATTTTTGATTAGTAATATGCATTACTAAGAACTTCATTTGAACAACTTTAAAGATGATTTTCTCAATATTTAGATTTTTTTGCACCCTCAGGTTCCAGATTTTCAAATAGTTGCATCTCGACCAAATATTGTCCTATCCTAACAAACCATACATCAATGGAAAGCTTACTTATTCATCTTTCAGATGATGTATAAATCTCAATCTCAAAAAATGTACACTTAAGACTGGTTTTGTGCTCCAGGGTCACATATTTCATAGTTACTTGGTGTTTTTTTCTTCTTTTTTTTTTGGAAACTAGTTGAATAATCAGTGAGTTTTTTATAGTTTGTGCTATAAAATTTTTGTCTTATAGCACAAACTAGAATAATTTAGAATAATTTAATTTATTATTAATTTATTATTTAATTTAGTTTTTTTTTACAAAAAGGTCAACGAGATGCAGGATGACAAAAAAATCTTCGACTTTTTATTGAACAAACTAAAAAAAAATCGAATAATTGAATTGCTTTATTACATTTATTTTTTAAGTTTAATTTAGTCTAATTTAGAAAAAATGACTAGCTGATAAAACGGCAAGATTCAGGATGACAAATATCTTGAACATTTCATAGTGCAAACTATCTTGACTAGAAAAAAAAATCTCTTGACGTTTTTGTAGCACAAACTAAAAAATTTTGAATAACTTAATGTATTATTTATTATTTCATTTAATTTCAAAATTGTATTATTTAGTTTAATTTAGAAACATGGCTAGTTGATAAAACAGTGAGATGCAGGATGAAAAATTATTTTGAACATTTCAGAACTTTTAGAATGATTTTATTTACTATTTCATTTATTTTCAAATTTTTGATGTGGTGTAATTTAGAAAAATGATTAATTGATAAAATAGTGCGATGCAGGATGACAGAATATCTTGAGATTTTTACAGCACTAACAAGAAAATTATTTATAATTATATATATTTATGTATGTATTTTTTATTTTACATTTTTTTCTAATTTAGAAAAAAATACTAGTTGATAAAACTTTTTAAAGTACAAACTACAAAATTTAGAATAAGTAATTTTTTTTCTAATTTTTAATTTAGTCTAGAAAAATTACTAGACAAAATGGCGAGATGCAGAATATATCAGAACTAGAAAATGTTCAATAATTCACTGGATGGTTCCTCTGAATACGGCGTGCGAAGGAGCATTTTTGGTTACACTTTACTTGAAGGGGTGTGCATAAGACTGACATGACACCTGACATTGTTTGAGATGTCTTTGTTATGGGGTAGGGTTAGGTCAAACAATGTCATCTTTGCATTAAAATGACATAACTGAGCGAATGACACTTAATGACAGCTGTCATAAACATGCATAAAAACTCCTTCATATTCATGACACGTGTCATGTCATGATTATGAAGGTGTCATGTCAGTCTTATGCACACCCTTCAAGTAAAGTGTTACCGCATTTTTCAGCTTTCGGACGCAGCACTTGTTTATTTTACTCTGTAGTTTTTCTTCATCTCCAGCTGCGATTCCTTTTCTCTGCCTCCAGAAATGTTCTGAGCTTCACGTCGGCTCCTTCAAAGGCTCTTTTATCTGGCTGACCGCAGTCGAGTCCCTCTGAAGGGCCGGAGCCTGTCCAACTCCATTATTAATCTGAAATGTATTGCTTGACGTCCAAACGGCGCAGTTTGATAAATTAATAAACGGGAGGTGTTGCATAAACACTGCTGATTAGCGCAGCGAGCCTCTACTGTTCTGTAATCGCGCCGCAGGAGGAAACTGTTCACTTTTATGCCTTTTTCCAAGAAACGCACAGGTACTTCATGACAATAAACACTAGATAGAAACCGAGAGGAACAGTTCAGACAACAATTCAAATGCTGTCATTATTTGCTCTTCATGCAACTCGAATCTTGAAAGAATTTGAATGCACTTTTTTCATGCACATTTTTCTTATATTTAATTTAGTCTAATTTATAAAAATGTCTAGTTGATAAAAAAGTAAGATGCAGGATGACAAATAGACAAATATCTTGAATTTTTGTAGTACAAGCTAGAACTTTTTAAATAATTAAATGTATTGTTATTTATTTATTATTTTATTTATTTTCCATGTTTTTTCTATTTAGTCAAATTTAGGAAATGACTAGTTGATAAAACAATGAGATGCAGGATGAAAAAATATCTAGAAAATTAACATTTTATTTATTATTTATTTTATTTTATAGATATATTATTCTTGTGATTTATGTTATTAAATAACAATGATTTTAATGCACTTTTTGACCACCATGTTTTAAAAATATGGTGGTATAAAATATTAATTGAAGTGTCTATGTCATTTTTCATATATTAAAGTGTTTTAGTAAATATCTGTAGGTCAATATTTCGGTTTACGACTATATGTAGTGCTATAGTGCATATGTATTTTATTTATTTTTCTTTAATTTAGTCTAATTTAGATAAAAAATGACTAGTTGACTAGTTCAGCGAGACGCAGAATGAAACAATATCTTTAACTTTTTAAACAAACTAGAAAATTAAAATAATTTAATTTATTATTATTATTATCATTATTTATTATTATTATTATTATTATTATTATTATTCTAATTTATATTTCAACTTTTCCAATTTAGAAAAATAACAATGATTTTAATTCATTTTTTTTTTACCCCTATGTTTTCTAAACACAGTGCCGTTCGATTAGTTTTGTGTGAAAAAAAAAAATAAATAAAATTTCTTTCTCTTTGTATTTTATATCAATATGATACAAAACTAAACTGTTTAAAACAATGTGAAGAATTAGTTACATCAAAAAGTAGTCTGATTATGTTACCTAAAATGTGTAATGTAATGGATTACGCCACTGACTACAATTTTTGTCTTGTAATTTGGGATCAGTAATGGATTACAATTTGAAAGTAATCTACTGTAAAAACCAGTAAAATCTCAGTTCAAATAATCAGGAGATGTTTTCCCACTGTTTTCACTGAATATGTGTGTGTTGTGAGATGTTTGTGTTGATGTTTGGTTTGCAGACGCTGCTGTGAACCGCTATCACGTTCAGTGGATGCCTGAATACTGCAGCCACAACCGAAGCGGAGCGCCGCAGAAATCACTGACTCAGGTTTGTGTGTTAGTGTTCATTTCTCTTCATTACTGCAGCTGATTAGCGTGTGTTGTTTCAGATGATGTGCTCAGAATGTGCTCCAGTGCCTAAGAAAACACAGGCATTAAAATCACATTTCCAGGAAGCGGGAGTGAATTTATCAAACCTCCAGAGCGGCCCCAGCGGAGCCTTAACCTGCGGCCCCGAGCCGCGTGCTTGCTGCTCGGAAACACGCATTCGCTTTCTGCCTCATGACTGAAAAACTACATTTTTACCTTTTCCAAAGATAATGGGATCGTTGTTTGCTTGTTAAATGTCATTGATGAGTGTTGTGGTTGCTAGGGGAAAGCTCGAGTGTTGTGGGTGGTTGCCAGGGTGTTGCTAAGGTGTTATAGGTGTTGCTATGCAGTTATTAAAGTGTTCTAGGTGGTTGCTAGGATGTTGCTATGGGGTTATGTATTCTGGTTGGTTGCTATGTAGTTTCTAAGCTGTTCTGACTGGTTGCTAGGCTATGGGGTTGCTAAGATGTTCTCGGTGTTGCTATACAGTTTCTAATGTTTTCTGTCCTGGGTGGCTGCTAGGGTGTTGCTGTGCAGTTTCTAAGGTGTTCTGACTGGTTGCCAGGACATTGCTATGGGGTTACTAAGGTGTTCTATGTGTTGCTATGCAGTTTCTAAATTGTGCTGGGTAGTTGTTATAGTGTAGAAGCTGGGTGTTGCTATACAGTTTATACAAGGTTTCCGTGGGGTCTTAAAAAGTCTTAAATTTAGTTGTATCAAATTTAAGGCCTTAAAAAGTCTTAAATTGTACAAGAAAGTCTTAATTATGAGTTCAAGAGGTCTTCAATTTGGGGATGGAAAGACCAGAATTGCGATATGCTTAATGTGATGATTAAACTTCAAAAGGCTAACGTTATGATTTCATTGAATAAACACGAGCGCTGCACGTTCAAAGTCCGGTGCTGCAGCAGCGTTACTGGGGAAAGTTATATTTCTACCAAACGCTCCACCTGCTGGCAGAGAATGGATTAGCATTTTCAATAAAACTGTTGTTTTGTTCAGAGTTCAGACACATGCGAAAATCGACCCATGTTTTACCCTGCAAACACACAGAGCTTTAAATGTGAACTGGTGGATCGATAAGAAGAGAATGCATTATAAAAATCCAAACATAGAGGAGTGTGATATGTATGGTCTGTGATAATATCGTAATTGTTGTTTTAATGATGTGCAATTTGATATTATGAGTATATCGCGAAAAAAGCAAACACAAAACACTTACAGAGTGCACGCATACATTATTAGGTGATGAAGTCTATCAGGTTAGACTAGTGCGCGTGCGCATTTATAGTGTGTTCTTTCACTGCATTAATCAGTCTATTAAAATGCATTTAGAATTATCACATAATTTAAGATATGGGCAGAAAATGTATATATTTATATAATTTCATATAGTTAATAGTATGTTATACGATGTTATACGATGTATGTTATAGTTATAGTTATACGAAGTGACGTTTTTTTTTCTCCAAAAGTAAGCATGATTACAAATGTAAAAATGTACAAAAAGTTACCCATTAAGCACAGCCAGAGTTTTTGCGTTTAATGATGTACATCTTAATTGAAATGCTTTTGTCTTTTAAAATAAAATTAAATATTATTGTGTGAGAGATTAATATTTTATTTTAACATAATTTCTAGTACTGAAACTGATGTCTTGTGCACTCAAAATGTCTCAACGTAGATTTTAGTGAGCTTAATAGGTACATTTACCCTAGTTGTTAAGATGTTCTAGGTGGTTGCTAATGTGTTGCTATGCAGTTTCTAAGGTTTACTAGTTGCTATGGGGTTGCTAAAATGTTGCTATGCAGCTTCTAAGGTGTTCTGGGTGGTTGCTAGGGTGTTGATATGCAGTTTCTAAGGAGTTCTAGTTGCTATGGGGTTGCTAGAATGATGCTATGCAGTTTATAAAGTGGTTGCTAGGTCATCGCTGTGTAGAATGCTAGAATGTTCTAAGTGGTTGTTACTTTGTTGCTATGGTGTTCTGTAGCTCAAGCAGTAGAGCAGTAGTGAGTATTAGTGATGCCAAGGTCATGGGTTTGATTTCCAGGGAAATTAACTGATCAAATGTAATAGATGAATGTAATGTAGTTTTATATGGAAGGCAGATAGCGCCAAATTTTTAAATGGAATGCATGAAGTTTGAAAGTGTCAACACACACTGTTCGTCTGAGCTAACACAGCATTTTTGAACGTTAAGACGTCAGTTTTTTGCCACGTTTATTTAGTACGTGTAAAGATGCAACATTTTACCACGTTAAGTCGAATTCTGGCTGTTCGAACGTGCAATGCGTTTTAAAGCAGATTTGCCTCTAGATTTAGCCTCACATTAATCATTTCTTTAGTTTATTGTGGCATTGCTTCACTGATATCTATTGTGCTAGAGTAAATTAACGTTACAATGTAAATTAAAAATGTTCTACCTGAAAAAGAATGTTAAACTAAACCGCTAAAAAGGACATGACAAATCATGACACAAGACTGACATCACACACAATGTACTGATGCATTATCCTTCATGAACAAATATAACATCTGATATTTGCATACGAGCATACCAGTGTGCACATCACATCACATATGCAATTATGGTCTCAAATACAGAAATGTAATTGGCTGCTGTGCATGTTGTCACGTTAATGTGGACAAACACTAGACACGGTCAAATTTCACACGTTTTGTATAAAGACTTTTGGCCTCAACCACCTTCCATATCTTTAGACGTTGCTTGGGACTGTGTTTTGAGGTGGTTGCTAACTGCAACACATTAGAATCATACATGAGATATTTGCATGAACAAACACCGTTTTCTTCATAAAATGTACAATTGTAGTTGCATTCTTCCACAGGTCACTCTGATAAACGTGTTTCTCTTTTGCAGGAGAACTTCATCAATCTCCCCGGTCTGCTGTTCTCCTGTAAGTACAGAGTCACCGTTCACATGCTCAGCGCTAAAGGACGCTCCAAAGACGAGAGCATCAGCTTCCTGACGCCGTCCTGCGCGACTCTCCAGAGCAAGAGCATCAAACCCATCGCCTGTCCCGGAGACACACGTAAGCACGGAGGCGCTTATCACTCATTAGGAGTGTTTGTTTTCATACTAAACTTCATAAAGGTCATACATTTAGCTTGAAATATGACATTTGAGGGATTAAAGTGAGAAAAAAAATCTGGTTTATTTAAGAGAAAATGTATTTTTGTTACTATATTATAATGAATGAATGGATGAATGATGCATTTATATAGTGCTTTGTTTATTGCTGTACACCCAAAGTTCTGTTTTGTATTTTATAAATGATTTCATTGTATTTTAAGTTAACGTTGTAATCATTTTGTCATTAGATTTTTTTTAAAATGTCTAATAGTTTATTGCATTTTTTAAATAAGTTTTGTTGTGTTTTTGTCATTTTTAGTTTTTTAAAATGTTTTTATTATTTTTATTTCCATTTTAGATTTAGCAATTTTAGTACTTCAACTAAATTTAGAAACGTTGCCTTAGCAACTAACTGAAACATTTACTGAAAAGCATAACTGAAGTTTTTTTTAAATTTTAGTTCTGTTAACATTTATTTTTAGATAACATTTATAATTTGTCAATTTATATAAATGTTCTTTTTTCCAGATAATTTTAGTTAACAGTAATTAAACTGAGATGGAGTGTTCTTTTGAGCCCATACTAACAGTATTTTATTATCACTGATGTACTATTATAGATTATATTAAAATGTAAATTAATTTTATCATTTCTGTTTTCCATTAGAAAGTTTAAGTTTTTAAATTAAAGTTTTTGTTTTCACTTTTTTAAATCTTATTATTAGTTTTATTTGTAGTAAAGTTTTAGTTTTTTTCCCCCATTTTTTAAAAAAGTTTTTTTTTTAATTTTTTAATTTTGTTGCATGTTTTCACGTTTGCTAGTTTTTTTTGTTAATATACCTATTTTATTAATTTTTATTTAAATTTTAATTTAGTTATTTTAAGTACAATCGACCTAAATGAAATGAAATTGAGAAATGTTGCCTTGGCAACTGACTGAAACAAAATAAGTTGTTTATATTTTATTTCAAGCACTGATGTGTTTAGTCTTAGTTAACAATAATAACCCTGGTACTAAGTACTTAAAATGAAACCCTCAATAAATTGAATTCAGTGATTAGTTCCCATATTTTTCATAATATTTATGTATTTTTGTCATTACCCAGTATGTTTATAAAAATAGCTACTTCCTGAGTCTGACACCTCATTCCCGTAGTGGGATCCTGAAGTGTTTAGTGTAATTTTTGTGTGGTCTCCTGATGTATTTGATGTTTTTCTGAAACTCTCAGCGCTGGCGAAGGTTTTGGTGAAGCCTGAGAATCTGACGGCGTCCTTCAGCTTCTGCGACGGTAACGTGACGGCTCGTTTCCTCTGGAGGGTGTCGCGTTCGCAGCCGCTTCAGCCCATCACGGGTTTCCAGGTCACGTGGGCGGAGGTTTCTAGTGCGAGCCGTCCGAACAGCCTTCCCAACAGCATCATTTCCCAGTCTCAGATCCTGCCACCTGTGAGTCGTCTCCACACAGGCTGTTCTCTCGTGAAAGCTGCATAAATTACACTTACATTACGTGTTCTTGGCCCGCGCTTTCTCACCGGAGCGCCTCTCATGGAAAATCGGTTACATATTCAAGTCCAAGAGTGTAAAATATGATACACAATCATCTTGTGTGAATAACGCCAGCGCTGGCATCGGCCCACAGGATCCGGCTGATGAATCGAGCGCTGCATGAGGCACCGAGGCTGCTCCTTTAGTCACCTTTTACTGAGCAGACCTCATACTGTATCTGGATGCTTTCTGGATGAAGTCATGTTGAGTGGTATATCAAATGTTCACAATGTATTTGTATGGTTTTGTTGCCAATAAAAATATAACTTAATATGATATTAAGTAATAATATAATGCATAAATAATGTTTTATTTCTTTAGTGCATATAATTGTGTGACACACACAGATAAATAGATATACATTTAACTACTATATAATAAAAAATTATACATATAAATATTATATATAATTATTTATATGAATTCATATATAAAATGACATATACTATATACTACATAAATTAAAATACTACATAGGAACATATAATTTATAGTTGGCAAATCCTCTTGTTCTGCATGTTCATTTGATTACCAGAAAATACACAACAGAATTTGTGGGGAAAAAATATATATATTATTCATTATTATTATTTATTAATTTTAGATGTTTACATTTGGAAAAGCTGTGCTTCCTGCATAAACCTGCCCCTGTTGGATTGGCTGTAGCTTGCTTGCCCCACAGAGTTACCTTATTTTCTTAATTCAAGTTTACATATTTTTGTCACATCATTATAAGTGTTTGATTACCACATGTGGGTTATCATTGCTAAAAATGTGTTAATGTATATATATTATGTTTATGTATATACTGTATTCTATATACAGTACCAGTCAACATTTTGGACACACGAATGGGAAGTGTGTCCAAACTTTTGACTTGTACTGTACTATAATATTTACATAAAGAATATCGGCCGATATATCGATACCGGACTTTTTTTTTTACTTCCTAATATCGGCATCAGCCCCAAAAAACCCATAACCCATAGAATTATTTATAAGTATTAATTCTTTAATATAGTATAATATTTGTTTGTTTATATATAAAATAATTAATAAAATAATTTACATGATATTACAGTTATATCAATACAATATTTAAATGGAATTTCTCAAAAATCTGAATATATGAATTATATTATATATTAAATAATATTAAAAACAATACATTTTATTATCACTAAATACGAATATATATATATATATAATATTATATTTTTATATATAAATATTAATATTATTTATATTCATTAATTAATATATTGTAATATTAATTAATTTCTAACATAATACAATTATTTATATTACGTAGTATTACAGTTATAACAATACAATATTTAATATTTAAACTTTAAATATTACAGTAAATATAAAGCTGAAAAATATTGAGATATCATTTTCAGCTACATCACCCAATCCTAATGGGAAGGTTTATCTTGAAGTAAATAATTTATTAGTGTTCATGTGGTAGTTATTAGTATGTTCTCAGTGATTGAGTGTCGTTTTGAGCTCATTCTTCATCTGACATCAGCGCTGTCAAACATCTAGCAGATCTTCTCCATCAATAACACTGGCTGCTCTCCTCGTAGAACAAACAGTTCAGCTTTAATCGACTCAATCAGATTGAAATGCATCAAATCCAATTGCATCCAGTTCTCATCCGCATGATTCCTCAGATCCTTTCTGAAGGCCGGTTCGAGGCACGCCATCATTATCAGATTGGACTCGTGTGTGAATGATGTGGAATCTGTGGTGTTTATGGATGATTTCATTCTTCATAACGAGTAAATCTGAAGGATTTCCAATGAGCTCATGACAAACACGAAAATGAAGGCGCTGGATGATGCTTCATGCCAAAACATGTTGGAGAAACATGTGCTTCTTTCAGGAATAATCTGATCTGAACAATCTGAAAAGAGAAAATCCATTGGATTATACATAAATCACAACATAGTCATTTCATATATAAATAATTTTTGTTGCATTTCCATGAAAAGTGGCTGTATTATGAAGGATCTGATGAAAATGTATTTTGCTTTGTTTTCCCAGGATCGTAACCTTCTGGTCGTGTCCAACCTCCAGCCGGCCACTTTCTACAGGTTAGAGGTTCAGGTGATCACCGCGGCGGGAGAAGGACCTGCGACAAAGAAGATCTTCCAGACGCCGCTTCAGCAAAGTAAGCAAACATGATTCTGGAGATTAAAGCGACGGCGTGAAACCGCGAGTGGTTTTGCTTCAGGACACAGATTTTACATTAAACATCAACTGAAGATCAATTGTTCAAAAGCAGTGTTGGGGGTAACGCATTACAAGTAACTTGAGTTATGTAATCGGATTACTTTTTTAAGTAACTAGAAGGAAATATCTGAGTTACTTTTTCAAATAAGTAACTCTAGTTACTTTGTTTCCATGTATTGACTGACAGCTCTGGTGTTGCCATGGTGACAGAAATCGTGAGTAAGTGCAGAGCGTTGTGTGTGAACATGATCTTACTGTAGTTCTAGACTAAATATGAACATGTATTTACTAATTTCACCTGCACAAATTCAGATTCAGTGTTCTTCAAAATGTATAAAAACAGTCAAATGCAGACACAGAATATTATACAAACCTGCATTAATTAAATGTTAAATAAGACAAATATAATTATTTAATCCCATTTTATTAATCAATGTCTTTGCTACTGACCTTCGATGATCCAATTCAAACATACTAAGCAAAAATTACACATTTGTGTTTCATTTTTGTTATTGCTGAATAGTGTTGAACTTTCTTCTCCTGCGTCATATTCTACTGTACAGACGTGAATTTACATTTCCTTCAGCCTGAGGCGTATTCATTTCACTTCTATTGTGAAAGGGCCTTTATATTTGTAAAATAAGAACTTCTTTATATTAAAAACAAACAAGCAAGCCCAGCCCAGATTTAAAAAGTAACTCAAAAGTAACGTAACGCATTACTTTCCATAAAAAGTAACTAAGTAACGTAATTAGTTACTTTTTTAGGGAGTAACGCAATATTGTAATGCATTACTTTTAAAAGTAACTTTCCCAAACACTGTTCAAAAGTAACAAATCAATAAAATCAAATATTGGAATGTATGTGGTAGTAACTGATTGCATGTAATCTGGATTACGTAATCAGATTCCAAAAATGTAGTACTTGTAATTAGATTATATTACGTTTTAAAATGCTCATTATCAGATTACAGTTACTTTTTTATGGATTACATGATTGCATATTATTCGATATATATTGAACTCCTTCAAACCCTTTGACCTAAAATATTTACTTGAAGTGCCCCTGTGATTTAACGTTAATATTTCAGTCGTTTAATGACACATTTGTTTGTTCTGTTTTCTGATGTCGGTTATTTGGATTGAGGTAAACAAAATATTTCAAAAGTAAATATTTTGGTCATAAGTAATCTAAAAGTAGTCAGAATACATTACCATTAATAAGTAATCTAAATTACATTACTGACTACAATTTTCATCATGTAATCAGCAACAGACTACAATTTGTAAGTAATTAACACAGCATTGGTTATTATTGTATCAGTCTGGCACCTTGAGAACACGATTTTTTTTTTCCTGTTGAACTTGTTATTCTTAACCAGAAAATCAGATTATAATTAAAATATTTTTAGTTTTTGTTGCTTTATTTACTTTTGTTGTGTTTTGAGTTTTAATGGTGTTTTTTTTAATGTTTTGTTCTATTTTATGAATTGGTGTTTTGAAGTTAAGCTGCTGTTGTTTTATTTGTTTGCATTTTCGCCTTGTTTTATTTCTGATCCCATCATTCCAATACTTCTGCATCCCACCATGTCTCATCTAAACCAACTTTAATTTTGAACATTCATTTTGCACTTTTTTGAAGTCAAACAGTAAATGACCAATCGTTGACGTTCCTATACGCTTAAAAATAAAGCTTCTTTATTGGTGTTTGGTTCCATGAAGAACCTTTAAAACCCATTCTGACCATTAAAACTTCCTTCACACTAAGAAAATAAATGGAGCTGTTTATTGAAATATGATTTGGGGAATCAAAAATGGTTCTTCTGTGCCATCGTTATGAAAACACTTATTTGGAACTTTGTTTGGTTTTGTTTCATGTTTTGTTCTATTTTATTTCTGAGTATATTTGGTGTTTTGAATATTTGGCATTTTGAACTGTTTGTGTGTGTGTGTGTGTGTGTGTGTGTGTGTGTGTGTGTGTGTGTGTGG